CAAGAAGATGAATCCCTGCAGTCACGAAAGCTTTAAATCGAAACCTCTGATTATCTTCGCAAAGTTCGCCGTTTAAATGTGGCTTTGTGGATAATAGGTGGGTGGGTGTTGGTAGGAGCATACCAACGAGTGTATTTTTTGCGGTTGTGTTCTATCGCTCTCAGCTGTGTTGTACCACGTGACGGTTTGGCGTGACGTCTGACGTTTCGCTGCACATGCTGGGGTCTTCTTCAGTTTCTCAAGAAGCCCAGCGTGTGGAGAGAAACGTCGGACAGAGCAGCGTGCGATACAATAGAAAACACATCCAGTACTGGATTCAATTCAGCCTGGAACATAGCGCTTGAAATTATCCACAACAACACGTACAATTCGAATCACATTGTATGTATTTCAACCTCATTTGGGCACCGTACGTTACCAACCGTGATAATCGGAGGTCCTGTAGGGGGATAAGTGTCTGTGCGGCCAAGCTTGACGTGATGCTGCACTTTTTGCTGTATCGTGTGAAACCGACAAAATCTTTTCTTTGTGTGCCAGGGGCTCAGAATGTGGCATCTGCACATTTGCTGTATTACAAGCGTTCCATGGGACATAAGTCCCAACACTCACAGGATGAGGAGAATAAAAAAAAACATCGTTGCTCATATTCGCTTTGATGGATAGCATTTAAAAATGTATAAACTATACGCAAAGGTGTTTTTTTTTATAATATACATTTTTAAAAATCCCCTCCTCAATCAATTCCATCAGTTTCCATAACTGACGATATTTGTTTTAGCTGACAAGGTAATTTCATTTTTCGATTTAAAGCTTTCGTGACTGCAGGGATTCATCTTCTCGGTTCTTTCGGTAAAGCCACGTAGAAGGGAAATAATAAAATAACAAAAATAAAACATAATAAAATAATTCTCACGACCTTTCGGCCACAACCCAGCAGCTTAAATATACGCTGCCAAGCCTGGTGGTGCCCATTCAGACGCTGTCTTTCCGACAGACCTGTTCTTCACCTGAGGAAGGCTGCTTGCGTTGTGGCCGAATCGTCGTGAGAATTATTTTATCATGTTTTATTTTTATCATTTTATTATTTCCCTTCTACGTGACTTTACCGAAAGAACCGAGAAGAAGGTAATTTCAGCTGAGGGAAATGCTCTTCGTCTGAAGGAGCTGCCCGCGGTCGTCTTCACGCCGTCCGGTCGCTTCTCGACGCAATCACGCGCCTGCCGCAAGAAGTGCTGTCCACTCACCGCAGACGACTGCACATCCCACCTCGCCGGTTGACACGAAGCCCGCGCTCTGTACTACAACTTGCTGCGCGCGGTCATGGGGTGGGCGGAGGAACGGGACGGAGGAAAAAAAAACACAAAACCGCAGCGGCGGCGCTGCCTGTCCTGACATATAACCACCTCGGAGCCCCGGCTGTCCGCGCTGCCAAGAGATGAAATTATTTCTGATAGCATTACATTGTACACGGCACACGGGGTAGCGCACACCGGATGGGATTTTGGAACAAACTTGCTTCTGAAGCATCTGTGTTACATCACCCTGATTCATAGCTTGCTGGTCCGCTGAGGCCAGAACACAGCCTGGGTTTCATTTCCCCCCCCCCCCTCCAGCCCCCCTTTTTTTGTTACAAACATTGAAAGGCCCAAGACGCTGCTGATTAATTGGCCTCCCCAAGCCTGACCAAACCCCTGACATCAGGCTCCCTGTAGCTCCTTCCCAACAGGCCTCCATTGCCTTCCCTTCCTTTAACAATCGGACGAAACCTGACCCGACAATTTGTAGAGGTTAACTCACTCTCTTTAGGAAAGCATACTGCGACAGAGTTAGCTAGCGAACGCACCGCGCGCGCGCACACACGTGCGCAATGTGTGTGTGTCCCCATTCCGGATGAGTTTCGGATTTTGAAATTTTAGAAAAAAACTATTTGGGACAATTCATGATCTTTTTCAGATGTTCGGATCTTTTGCATGATGTATTGATTGAACATGCCTTTGTGCCAACAAAAGTGATATCATATCGCACCTCCAATTATCACGGTTGGCCACATACTGTGCGAAAGATGTTCAACATACATATTTCATGAAAAATAAGAATATGTTGTACCCTTTCTGGCAATAAAACCAGTGTTAAGATGTTCAAACATCAAATAGATACATATTTCAAGGCATCAAGTCTGCATTAGCCACACATAGCAACGTAATGTCATTTCCTGTTACGTTTATATATACATCTTTATATCTAGAAACTCCATCCAATATTTCATCGCTACCATCACGATTCACAATTTTCAGATGAGTCTGAAAATCAGGAACAAATCGCTGGCCTCTATGTAGCTGTTCATAGGAAGCATCGACATTTAGTCATTGTTCAATTTGCTGTTTGAGAGAAGACTTTTATTTAACTGCATATCTGTTCAATCTTTCTTTCAAATTTAGTCGCTTACTGTAACCATCGTAGGTTTATCTCGGGGATTAAAATATATCTTATATATTCAGAAAAAAACATTTCTTACACGTATGCAGAAATGTGCGGGGGGTGAGTAAGAACATGAAATTTTTAACGTTACTTTGTATTTTTTTAAATCTAAATTTCAAACAAATTTCTTCAGAACTGCTTTTCATGTACGGTGCAAAATAAGTTCAACATACATAAAACGTATTTGCGGTTGTCCCCAAGTTTCCCTCCTGTTTAATTACCCAGGACATATGCACGGCTACTTAAAGTGTCTTCCCATCTTGACTACGTGGGAGTGGCAACACATTGCTATCTTGGCTTTGACAGCAGGTATCTTCTTACAAAAACACAGACTCCACATCTTTGCCGTTACTCTTGGGAAACTTGGTATAGTGACCAAACAAATATGTAGTTTGGAAAAAGGGTGGCACTTTTGAACAGACTGGAAGGAGATTTTATAGAGCGAGTTTTCTTTTCATTTTTTTTTGCACATTTATGGAATATATATTTTTAGGATAAATACAGACAATAGTCTTCCCAGATGGCACCAACTTTATGCAGGTGCTGTCATCTTAAGCTGTGAATAATTATTGTGGCAAAGATTCGCGAGCTGGTATTCACGAACAAGTTCTACAGCGCAGATGAGAGAAACGTTTGTTTCCCCGCATGGCAAGCAGCCTGTGTGTCGCTGAAATATGACATTTGCTTAAAGGCGCGAAAAAAAAAAAAACTTAATCCTTTTGCATATATTCTCTGTGGTGACGTGGTGATGCTCTTCTGACACCTCCTTGAGAGACACATTACATCTCAAACATTGGAGCAAGTCACCGTTTGACATTTTACAATCCCTCATAAGGAAACAAAGTCAACATGATTTTTTTTGTATTCCTCTGGTCAGATAATGTTTTCGTGGGTTCTTTAGTAGCACGTTTGTACACACAGTTGTCCACGAACGGATGAAGCACGCGGTGATACACGGTGACACACGACGACACACGGAGACACAGAGTGACACACAGAGACACACATTGACACACGACGACACACGGAGACACACAGTGACACACAGAGACACACAGTGACACACGACGACACACGGAGACACACAGTGACACACAGAGACACACATTGACACACGACGACACACGGAGACACACAGTGACACACAGAGACACACAGTGACACACGACGACACACAGAGACACACAGTGACACACAGAGACACACATTGACACACGACGACACACGGAGACACACGGAGACACACAGTGACACACAGAGACACACATTGACACACGACGACACACGGAGACACACAGTGACACACAGAGACACACAGTGACACACGACGACGCACAGAGACACACAGTGATACACGGTGACACACGGCGAGGCACGGTGACACCCGGTGACACACGGAGACACAGAGTGACACACGGTGACACACACGCCGACACGCGGCGCTGTACGGCGCTTGAGATACGGCCACGCGTTCACGTCACGCATCATCGTGATAAATCCAACGTGAGCACTCGCCCACTGTGCGTAAGCCTCGCATCAACATCGCCAAGCCGCTGGCACAAAAACACAAGAACGTGTCAGCATTTGTTAAGGTAACGGGGAACACCCAGAAGCACAACCCCCCCCCCCCCAGTTGACAGCAGATGCGTGTGTCCAAGCGGCACTCTGGACTCGTACCCCACGCTGTGTGTACGCGTGCGAGCCGTGGTCGTGATGAGATAAAGATGTGAGTCCTTGTGCTTTAAATCTGTCATCCGATTTTCCACAAATCAGATCGCGAAATACAAATGTTTGCGACGTAAACAGGAGAATGTTTTTTTTTAGACTTTAAATGCTGACGTGTATTTATTTTTTTACAATGTTTTTTTACATCGTGGAACGTGGGGACTTTTATGTTTTGCCAATGATCATAGTATGCCTTTGCAAATGTGCTACTTATTTGATTCTGTAAAAAGCATTCATTGAAGAATGTTCAAAAGGGCCGGATACTGTATTTAAAAAAAAATACTTGTAATTATTTTTTTGCAATCCAGCTGCGAAAATCACTGCTCACAGCATACTTGTATCACAATAATACGATTGCAACTCTACATCCAAGCTGGGATTTAACTCAGCCCATCATCTCTTTGGAGGGCTTATAAAATACCACGTGGCGACGGTATGACCACACAACAACGGAAACGTTTCCACCATTCGGCTCAGGCCCAACAACAACGGAGGTGACCACCAACAACCCCCGACGCTCATTCCATCACGTACAACTGCCGACTTTGACATTCGACCCTCGGCAAGGGTGACCGCTTCCAGAACCGGCCCTAGACCTTTGGGGGCCCTAAGCAAAATTTGGTTGGAGGCCCCTTTGATGTATGATTTTTTTCACCCACTAGCTAGCAGTGACTCTAGGGGGCCCTCTGTTGGCCACGGGGCCCTTTGCAATTGCAAGGGTCGCTTAGTGGCTGGGCCGGCTCTGACCGCTTCTTGACCCCCCCTCCCGCCCTTGCTTTGCTCCTCCACTGTCCCAGCTCCCCCTAAGGTGTCGGGCCGCGTGGTCGGCAGGCAGAGCGTGCGCGTGGGCCGCACCATCCGCCTGCCGTGCCCCGTGACGGGCGACCCGCCGCCGCTCACCATGTGGACCAAGGACGGGCGCACGGTTCACGGCGGGTGGACGCGGCTGCGCGTGCTGCGCCACGGCCTCAAGATCGAGGAGGCGGAGGTGGACGACGCCGGAGTCTACGTGTGCAAGGCGGCCAACGGCTTCGGCAGCGTCAGCCTCAACTACACGCTCGTCGTCATCGCAGGTGCGCTTCGCACGTCACCTTGCTCGCTCAGCCGCGAATCAACGGGGTGACCCGCCCACCCGCTCACTCACTCACAGGGTCATACACTCACACGCCAACCTACTGGGTAAGCCACTCACCCGCCAACCTACTCGATCACCTGCTCGCCCATGAACCTACCCGGCGACTCACGCACCCGCCAAACTACATGCCCGAAACTGTTCATCAAGGGCCTGTCTGTGTGATTTTGATACGATTCCGTAGCAGCTCAAGTTGAAGTCTTGTTTTTGTAAATTTGACGATGTAGATATGGCTTGAAGAACATTTATGCAATACACCGATTCATTGATTTAAATCAATGAGTTGATATGAACAAATTAATTAATAATTATAATATATATATATATAGCTTCGTACATGAAAAGTGCATCTCACAACTGCTGACGAACCACAGATAAGCCTAAAGGCAGCCAGGCAGTGAGCCGGCACCAACCATTTTTCCGAAGCCCTGCAGTCCTCTATGTAGTTGGATGTTACTGGTAGGAACCTTCTGGTTACACCAGCCCACAGGGGATTATTGTGTCCGTCCGTCCGTCGTGCATGCAAAAATAGGAGGGGTGGGGCTGGGTGGAGAGGGGAGGGTGGGGAGGGGTTGGGTGGGGAGGGAGGGGCTGGGTGGGGAGGGGGGGGTGGGGAGGGGCTGGGTGTGGAGGGTGGGGCTGGGTGGGGAGGGGAGGGTGGGGCTGGGTGGGGAGGGTGGGGAGGGGCTGGGTGGGGAGGGTGGGGCTAGGTGGGGGGTGGGAGGGGTGGGGCTGGGTGGGGAGGGACTGGTCACCCCGTGGTGCCCTTATAAAACTCAACGTTTAACCGACTCACGCCGGCTTGTGCCCGCTCTCACAGTCGGGCATATTTGCGGAAACACCACGCCACCGTTGACCCTGACTGAGCAACCCAACGTTCCTACCAGCTCCCTCCGCAGGAATGTGTTTTCAGCCATATACTGAGTGATGCATCATTCGGTTAGCATCTACTTTTGAATGTCGTGATTTGGAAGCGACCTGTTCTGTTGAGCTGCAGGCTGTTCCACTGCAAATGGCTCCATACACAAACAATTTAAGGTCCCACGCTTGACCTTCTGGAAAATAAATAGGATTGCTATCTGGACAGGTTCTTATCCGGTTTTAAATAGACGAGGACTTAGGAGTGAACAGACAGGAGGAGTCGTGCCTAAAGAACATCACGATGTCGTGATAATACTTCCACTCACAGACACTATCAAGGGTACCGGGACTGGAGCTGTGGCTGGGTCATGGAGCCACAGAACCTTGGACTTTAGTGTGAGCACATGGAAACACGAAATCACTCAGAAATGTCATCCTTGCCTACCATCAACAGCAGCACAGCAAATTACGAAGTCCTGTATTGCTCATAATTCGAGAGCTTAATAGCAATGGCATTAAATTACATTAAAATTAAATGTAGGCATTTAGTAAGTAGGATGTGTCTGGTTAACATCTTCCAGTATATGTCATAGTATGGATGAGTGGAGTGGCGGCACAGTCATTAGCATGAATCCGTCCAGCAGAGTTCAGTTCCCGGCCACGGCTAACATCAGTGGCGAGTGTTATCTGAACCGGTCCTGGGTCCCCTCCCCCACCACGTCACCACCCGGCGCTGACCTCCGTGGTGAAGTATGGTCAAAACAACTTCCACCTCCGACACGGATTGGGGAGGCTCTCATCCAACAGTGAATTGAGAGTTGGTCGAATTTTTTTTAAATTGTAATTTTATTTAGATGTCTTTGTCTGTTAGCATGACATTTGTTAGTCTGCTGCATATGAGCATATGTGCTTTACTGTGAGCCGAGCAGTTTTGAAGTGCGCTGCAGTGGGGGTGTTCCTTTATTCAATGTACTTTACTGCATAGTTCGCTGGGTAGTTTAACTCGCAAAGAAAATAAATGATTGTGGAGACACTGGTCTTTTTTTTTCCTTGACCTTGCAAAAACATTTACATACAAGCAGAAGCCATGACAGTAAACGGACTCTTCATCAGGATCTCTAAAACAAATTCTGACTGGGGCCGTGTGTGGGGGGTTTTTCCTTCTGGATGGCCAGGTTTAAAAAAAAAAGCTACAGAAAACGCACACAGGCACAAGCACACACTCAACTAGCATCAATTCCATCATTCTTTTTTTCAACTTGGTATGATTGTGTGGTATTTCCTCAGTTTGTATTATGGCACAAACACCCAAACCGAGGAAACGCATTTTATTTTCCTCTCCTTATTTTAAGCTATATTAATACTTAATCAGATGTGAAAGAATGCAATTTTGCAATTCATGCATTGAATGTTTATTTATTTTTTTATCCATATCTCATATCTTCAACCTTTTCACATTTACACTCAAGCCAAAGCTGTGAATGCTAACCAACCAGAACAGACAAGTGTTTGGTTTTTTTTGGTGAGCTTTATCTTAAAAAAAATTCTACTCGGGGTTTATTTATATTTTAAATGAATCTCTTCACCCATCGCTGTGCACTCATTATCAGCGGCAGACAATTTTAGTCCGCCCAGCTCGAGCCTAGCATCCCACCATCACGATCCCTCATCGCCTCTCGCTAATGTACCCCCCCCCCCCCCCCCACAATACCCCCCCACCCACCATCTCCTCCTCCACCCTCCGAGGAATCCACACCAGCATCTGTGGGGGTCCATCACAATCACCGCGACTGTACTCACTGTTTTTCCCCGGCCATCGTCTTTATAGTCAGTGGAACGCTCCAAAGCCCAGCAGATGCACCCAACCGATTTTCCACCGCTGGTTGCGAGTGTCAGGCAGCGATGAGAACTTTGAATCTGGGCCCAGTGACCGACTTTTTTTGTGTGCGTGCTAGCAGAGCAAAAAAAAAAGGTCCCATCTGTCCTGATGCATTTTTTTTCAGCCCAATTTTATCCCGAATGTGCTGTAATTGGGGTCATGTCATGAGATATAGTATCACAATCCAGATCTCTCACAGAGCAATGCAATCCTTTGTGGTTCAGAGAATGGCCCCACGGAAGTGAAAATCACAGATATGCCTCTGAGATCGCTTCAAGTGACATCAGGTCCCACGCAGTAAAAGGCAGCATTTTCCCACCCATTCTGCATTGAACAATAGTGTTCATTGCATGATGACCAAATACATGTTTTTACGACTCAGAGCTGGAACTTAGCCCAATTTAATGTGATGAACCCAATGGCATGTGATGATTTGCTTGCACAAGACACCTGCCTATTGAGTAGTGAGTCAATTATCGAAGGACAGTATAGTACAGCAGATAGGCTGGGGGCCTACCTGTGGTCACCTCCAATGTGTGGGATTTTGCAGGGTAACCGTGACTTTTATCTCATGCAGAAATACTCAAAAATGTTACCGTACCACAAACACCACAGGCGGGATTCAGCCCATTCAAAGAGCCTTAAGACTCTGGGAGGCATTCCTGGGTAAGTGTAGGGAAAGTATCGGATTGGTTGTTTGAATGCGAGAAATTCGCATTTTGCACGCCCGACACGCCACAGTATATTTTTCCACGGCCGCACTTAATACCGGCGAAATTAAAACATAATATAGAGCAAATGCAGCTCTCGGGGCTACCGGCCTCTGCTCTTGGCAAACGAACTTGCGGCGCAGAGAGGCCACTGGCCACACTGCAGAGGCAGCTGCTGCCACCGCATATGCCACGTGTAGTGTTTCAGCTTTGCATTGTGCCCGTTACCTACCGACAAAAAGCGTTCGTAGATGCGTAGGATAACTCCGCCTCGTTCGGTAAGGTGAGCACTCGTGAATTACGTCTGATAAAAATCACACACGACTCACAATGCTCCCTGTGTACTACAACGAGTGCCCAAAACCTTTTAGCGTGCGTTTTATGTAATCACGTGACTGAAATCTACGTCCTCGAGCGAAGGAGGGTTTGAGGGGGTTTTTTTTGTCGTTGCCGTATATTTTGTTGGTTGTTAACGAATATATTTACGTAGCCGTGGAATGGAATGCGTTTGAGAGGACGTCTACCAAGAAAAGATTGAGCGGTGAAATCAATTCATGTGTAGGCGCCCGGTGGATTAATGCACCACAGCATTGTGGGAGGTGGCAAAGGCTTGGTGAGACCTTCATCCAGCAGTGCATTGAGATATGGCTGATGATGATGTTGATGTGTAATGACGACTTGACACACTTCTCTTGAGATGACACTTTATTGAAGACACTTTCACTTGACACAGGCAGAGACCCCCACTGCAACAGCCCCGAGTCTCCCGCGCATCTCCCTCTTATATACCGAGCGAGGCCACACCCCCCTTCCCGAACTTTCTCGCTGACTCTGGACGCTCGCTCTACCAGCAGACTCCACCGTCCTCTTCCGTCACCTGACTACGCTCCCTTCTCGATCATTCCCGTAGCCACCAGTCCCTAAGTACTCACAACTGATACCTCTGTCATTACCTCCTGTGGCCACCAGTCCCTTCATACTCACAACTGACTCCCCTGTCATTACCCCCCGCGGCCACCAGTCCACTCACACCGCATGTAGACTCTACTGTCATTACAAATGATAAGTAGATTATTAAAGAATGCATTATTTACAATAAAAAATGCATTACCCCACCTATGATCCAGACCGAGGTTACTAGATCAATGGTCCACAATCCTGTGATGTATTAATCTACAAGGCTGTGGGAACTGGTCTGCAGAACTTTTGCAGATACTACGAGTTAGGGTACATGTAGAGTTTTAATGTTGAAAAAATATTGTTTTCAGAGACGGTGGTCCGCAAGAATGCTTTAAGGCTTGCCAGTGGCCCGTGGGTCCATAAATGTTGTGAACTAATGTTCGACATAATGGAACTTTGCGTGGTGATGCACGAACGTTAATTTGTTCAACGGTCCGAATTCTGACTGCCAACAAGAGCAGGGTGCCACGGTGGTGACTTGTTAACTCCCTCGCCTAGTATACAGGAGGGCGTGGGTTCGATTCATGCCCT